ACAAATACATACATACATATATATTAATAAAAATTAGTATTTTTGTAAAATGATTTCATGCAAATTACGAAATATAAATATTTTTATTAAATAATGTACATACTATGTATATCATGAAATATGTATTTTGTATTTTTAAGTTATCCCATTAAATTTTTAAGTTATCCCATAAAATGAACGATTAATATCTTTTAAAATATATACCCTAGATTTTTCAAATGCATGCTATATTATATTATATATATATATATTACCATTATTATATATATATATATATATAAATTACTTCTTAAATAATAAATATATATAATTTTCAGACATTATTTTTTTACATATAAATTTTTGCTTATATATTTACATATAATGAATATTTAAATATTTTAAAATATTTATAGCGTATATCCGAAATTTTAAATCATTTCCTTGTCTTATGTATCAAAATTAGATATCAATTTATAATTAATATTAATTTATATTAATTACGATTTTAAAGAAACTAGAAAATAATAAATTCCAAAAAACAAAACAAATATATCATTCGAGACAACCCAATGATGTAAGCCAAAAAATTATAAGCATATTTTGTATGATGATGAAAATTCATGTTTTGCATTTCAGATATGATATATTATTTTCATTGGTCTGTTACAAAGCTATTAAACAATAAATAGAATAAAAAAAAAAACCGCTACAAGTTACCCTGAATTTCCACTCGTTTGACTTCATGACAATTTGTTTCTTAGAATTTGTCTTGTCACCTCCATCACCACCCTGTGAAGATACGATACAAAAAAAATTTAACTTCTTCTTTAACAAGTTTCCATTTCCTTATTGCGGCAACCACATTTTTTTTTGCACTTTAGTTGTGTAGATTACATAAAATAAATAATTTTTATTAAAATTATAACTTATTATATAAATTATTTAAAATATTTATTATTTAAAATATAATTATTATATAATAATTATTATATTAAACTTGTTTATAGAGAGAAATAAGCACATAAACATTTAATAAATATTTAATTAAAAAGATAAATATTTAATACAAAGCTAAATTAGGAATTTGAATATCATATTATTTTATAGAAATTATAAATATAGCATTTCTTCCCTACAGGAGTATCTACTTTATTCACATATATAAAGCAATTTAAATANAAAAAAATATCTATAAAATATAAATTATAATAATCTAAATTAATAATAATAAATATTATTAATAAACATTATTATAAACAATATTATTATAAACAAAAATATTGAGATTAACAACATCATATATAGCACTGTTAAAAAGTCTTATTAAGCATATCGAGTTATTATTATTAAGCAGTTATATTATATCAGATAAATGGAACTTAAAATAATTGAAACATTGATCATATATATCAATAATTATAATTGAAAATATATGATATAAATAATACTTAATCTAACAATAAATATTTATTATATATCTGTATATAGTATCAATCAAATATATAATATAAATACGCAAAAACATGCATTTTTTCAAAACGTTATATTAATATATTAACATTTTTTATTAATTAAATAATAAAAATTATTATGTCACAAAATATATACATAATAAATGATGAAAAAGTGAATAATGATAAAATAGTAACACTTTAAAATATTAAAATGTTTTCAATGCTTAAATTCTTGTAAGCATTTATTAGTGTTTATAGAAATTTGTTATTAAAGAATAGTAGATATTTGAAATTTATTATTTATATATATTTTATACATATAGTATTTTATGTAATAAATTTTTTGAATACATATTCAAAAAAAAATGATATTTTATATATATGTATATTTTACTATATATATATATATTATATTCTCGTTATAAACTTATTATAAAAATTTAATTTGCTTTAAATCTCTTAACTGATAAAATTATGAAAATATGAATTTTGAGTAAAAACGAAATTTATTAATTGTGATAAACTAGTGTATTGAAATTAATGTACAGAAAAATTTATTACATATTTAAATTTTATTTATATTATATATATATATAAGAATTATTTCATTTTTCCAAATATTTAATTCATTTATTTTGGAACTTAATAATTTTTAATCTAATTCGTCGAGAAAATATTAAAATAATTAAAATTAAATTAAAATTAAATATTTGCGTAAAAATATATACTTTGAAAAAACCAAAATAAAATACAAAATAATTTTTAATATGTATGCAAATATACATATGTGTATGAATATGCTAAACATAATAAACAAGGATAAATCTACAACTGACGTCACTATTTCTAATATAATTTACAAAGTTTTAAATATCATTTTTAGAATTTAAACTAATGATACATTATAAATTATACAATGTATATTGTAATTTTCCTATATTAATTATATAATTCATTCCATGCGTAAATTCAATTATCTAAACCTAAGCCAATCTTAATAAGAAATTAGCATATTCATAAACATATATATATATATTTTTAATATTAATTCGTACATATGCAATAATACAATAAATGAATATTTTTAATATACCATTTATATAAGATTCATATACTCATATTTCAGTGTTTTTCTATTGGAATCCAGTTTTCTTAACGCTTATTAAGGTTCATTTACATACATTATAATGAATAAATATAAATAAGTAAACAAATTAAATTTTAAGTACTATTAACTAGTAGCAATAATTACGATATTATATACAAGATTACAAACTATGATATTGAATATAACTATTAAAAATTATATTCATTATATATAATAATAATTAAAATTAATTTTTTACTATTATACATTTATATAAAAAAATCAAAAATATAATAGTATTTAATAAAATTGCTTAATATTATTATAATTTTAAATTTTTTAAATATATAAAAATACAAATCAAAAATTTTAAATCATTAATATAATTCATGAAATTCAA